ACCATTACCAGCCAAAACCCCTCTCTTATTCCATGTAAGAGACCTGCCCCTGTCCCCCCTTTTGTTCCCCAACAAAGCTGCACAGCCCTGGCCCACCACTCACTCAATCAACTCTCTCTTATTCTCTGAATTTTCTCCCTACCTAGAAGACATAAGGGGCTGATGAATATTTTCTAGGAAGCTTCCTTCTATCCCATTCATTGTATTGTGTGTTTCCCCCCCACTTTCCCCTCCATATATAATTCGGCATTAGGGCCATGTTGTAATGCAGCTTTTTTTTTAATGAATTAAAACATTACTCTTTGAGTATATTTTAAATAGTGTGATGCTATTTAAGCCAAATTCCTAATTCTATATCTTAAGAGTGGTTATCTTAAGTGTGAGTTTTAGGTTCTAGATATTTAAATAAGTGTGTAATATCTTATTTGAATTCTAGATTCAAACCCCAAGTTAAGATAAGAGTGTGCCATATCTCTTAACACCAACTTGGTTTATCCCCTCCTATTTTATTCCCCCATTTCGTGCCTCCCCATATTCTCTTCCTAAACCTCTTCTTTTTCTTCATAAAAAAAACACCAAAAGAACTCCCCTTTTGCCCCATAATATTTCGGCCACCCCATTTCCCCCTCACCTCCCCATAATTCCTTCTCTAAAATAGCAACGTGATAAGACCCCGGGTCTCGGGTATGACAGATACACTTACGTCACTTAGTGTATAAGTGGTGTATAAATTTGGATATATCCTAAGCACAACTCTATCGGAAAGAAGGATTATACGAGATGGAAAAAGAAAAAAGTTACTTGTGCACCACTTGGTGTTTACCAAGTGTTTGCACCAACACCTTAATTGATCACATTGGCACAAAATATTAATGTTATTGCAAAAATTAGCATCTCAATTTTTGTACCAGTGAGAACTGTCGATGTAAACTCTTGATGTACGTACAATATTGTGTACCCAAGTGGTGTCATGATGTAGAAAGATAAGGATGGAGTTAAAAAGGAATTTGCTTACTCGACACCACACTCTTTCATGGTCATCATCGCCATACGGATTAACATATTTCTCGTCAAAAGACTTGATCATTTGCAACTCACTGAGGGCCGCCCTTCTGCTTGTAGCAGATGACTTTACTTCAGGTTCTTCAAGTCCACAGTATGGCTCAATAATGTGATGTTCTGGAAGTCCATCTATCAACTGTGAATTCAAATTTTAACCTCATTAATATTACGATTATCTATTCTCACTTCTCTTTTTTGATGAAATGAAAATGGAAGAATAGAAGAAAAGGAAAGCTGAACCCCAAACCCCGGCAGCCTCACAAGTCACAACACCGCTCAAACAGTTAGCTGAGATGAGATTATAAATTGAGCTATAATCTCAGTTACTTGGCGTAGGATGGGGTTCTGTTTATGGTATTTACAGAAACTCATGTTTCGCATAATTGTCCCTCATTGTTGCCCAACGGGTTTTGAAGTCGGAAAAATAAGAAGAAAAACTCTACCTTTTGGAACTCTTTAAGGTTTTCAGAACATAATTTGTTCTTTGGATCTACGTGAATGTACCTCCTCTTACAACTTTCTGCCAGCGACTATAGAGACAAAAATAGAATTAAGTTATGAGGTTTTTCCTATGAGAAATAATTAGTTAGTGTCCTTTTACTATTAGGTGAAAATGTTCATCCCCAAGAGGAGTTTTAGTAAAAAGCGCTTTGCTATAGATCATATTCATGATTGACGGAGTACTACGTAATTAATTATTAAGTGCAAAAATATAACTCATACATTTTTTATCTACTAAAGGTTACTCAATCCATCCCGAGTTATTCCGGAACTATTTGTCTTACATTCGATTTTAATTTGTTCTAAAATAATTATCTTCTTTATTTTTTTAATATTATATGAGTATACGATTCATCACAATTTTTAACTACATGTAGAAAGTGGATAATTAATGGGGAATAAATCACCCAAAATAAAAGTAAAGCTCAAAAATATAGCCTTATTTCTCAAAATAAGGGTGAAATTTTTTTCAAAACAGAAATTTGTATTGTGACAATGTGGCACTATTTATTGGCATTTCATAGTGTCTAATTTTTTGGTATTATGACATTGTTTCATTATTAGTTCTATTTTGAGATTAAGATCATGAAAATTCTTTTTTTGTTCTTTTTTTTGCTTTATTCATATTTTAGTCCTTGCTTGAATCGCGTTAGAATAATAAATCCAACATTTTTGGTTATCATAACCACAAGTTTTACACAGACACATAGATGCCACTACTGTTTGTGCAACATGACATTAGTTTGTGTGTTTGTGCAAACCTTGGAGTCATGGATAAGCCCAAAATGTTGGGATTACCCTTTCTTTGTTATTCTCTCTTAATGGGGACTAAATTTATGGCTAGTACAACGCTTAGTCGGTACCTGATAGAGCTCATGTGAGACGAGTCCCATTCCATAAGCGAATGGAACTACAAAATTCTTTTCTCCGGGAAAAGTTTTGGGGTTTCCAAGTATATATCCCTAACAAAAATATGCATTGAATTACAAGAAATATTAATAAATTTACCCATTGAATTAAACAAAACACAAGGGAATTGGTAATGGACACGAGGAATGCATGAAACATATCCTACTCTACTATCCATAACACATCCATGATATTAGCGTCTCAATATGATTCAAAAATAAACCTATTAAACTCTAGATACCTTAAGATTCATGGGTTTCTCTGCAGCTTCATTTCCTACAAATGTATTCGTCAATTAGTAAATTTCTTACAATCAAAATTAATAATTAAACTTTGACCATTATAAACATAAAACTTATATTAGATATTGATACAAGAATAATTTTATTAGACTCACCTTATAAAACAGTTTCAAAAATTTTTTCTTAGTAATTTTAGTGTCATCGATTATTTTATATTATTGGATTTACATAGAAAGGACGAGAATTTTAATAAACATTCTTAATGAATTTGGAGGTGCGGAGTACACGCTTGTTAAATGATATTACATATTCTATAGTGGGGGCGGGGATCGGACTGCAACCCCTGACAAGGTTCAAGGGTACAAAATATACCATACAACCGATTGTACGGTATTTCCCATACATCACAACGAGTATTCATGTACGAGTAACTGAATACTCATTTTTGAACAAATGAATACTCATTTTTGAGTAACCGCATACTCATTTTTATAAAATTCAGTTATGCTCAAAACTGAGTATTCTGTTACTTGAGAATGAGTACTTTGTTACTCAAAAATGAGTATCCAATTACTCGGAAATGAGTATTCATACGGATGTACGAGAAATATCGTAAATATGGATGTATGGCATAGGTACTCTAATAAGGGTGCGTGGGGCCTATTTTAATTAAAAAACCTTTATTAAAAAGATCATCACATTATATTCTAACTCGGAATAAAAAATTGAAATGAATTTACGTAAATAGTACTAAAACGTAGTGACTTTCGCAATGTAGTACCATATGTTTTTATTTTCCAATGTAGTACCACTGGTCATTGTCTGGTCATTGTTCAAGTTAATGTCCGCCGTCACTAGATAATGTTCAAACTAAATGTCTACTAAGCTATCATCAGACATTTTTCCCGCTACTAAAGATTATTCAAATACTATTTAGATAATAAAAAAATTTAAGTATTAGTAGTACATTAAAAAATGACATATGCTTTAGTACTACATTATTTACCGTAAATTTCACAACAATTTCAAGTTTTAAACATGGAAATTATTTACAAATCATCAATTTTAAATCACCATGTTATAACTCGTAGTCGTAATACACAATTGAAGTAAATAACATTGAATTGATAAAATTATATAGTCATGTCACCTCTTCTTTTGTACTCCGTAATACTTTTCATTTAGTTTTAAAATGTGTTGCTTTTGTTTTAATTCAATCAAAGTTTTTATATAAATAGAATTGAGAATAACTTCACTTAAACGTTGGAAGAGAGGGATCGGGGAGTACGATTCAATATTTTTACATTCTCATTGTTTTGAATACATGCTCGCTTGGCAATAGTTCTAGGATTTAGCCATAACATTTTAAAAATGTTTTATAACAGGATCCTTTATAGTTAGCGTTTTCAAAATTAATCTGAATCATTAAAAATTATCCAATACATTAACGCTAATATAGAAAACATTTTTCTCAAACAAGGCCATATATGATGCTCTAAAAAGAAAAAATTCATAGAAATCACCCTAAATAGGACTAAAACATAGATAAAGTTCCAAAATAGGACTTTTATGTTTTTTCCCGAAATAGGACTTTGCATTGTGGTAATGTGGCACTGTACATGTGCACATTACTATACTTTTTTGGTAATGTACATGACCATGGTTGGTAATGTAAGATATTTTTCGAGAATAAAAACATGGAAATCCTATTTTAGTATATATTCAATGTTTTAGTCCTATTTTGATCTTTCTCCCAAAAGTTCACACCAATACTCCTAATTATGGTAATTATATAATATTACTCTCAAATTCATTTTTACATGTCAGCACTCTGAGAAATTACTGAATTTTACATCGTTACTCGAGTTTTGCTGAGTAAGTCTCGGGCTAAAGTGTATAGAATTACTTAGGTTGACATAACAGCTTAGAAAATTAATTGGCAATGCAGTTAAAGAAATTACTCTCAAATTCTCTTCAACTTATTACTCCCTCCGTCCCACAAAAAATTACATATTTTGATGTATTTTTGGTCAAATAGTTACACGCTTTGACCATAAATTAAATACAATCTAAATAAAGAAATGTCATAAAAATTTGATATATCAAAACTAGATCCTAAGATGAATCCACTTATATTAAATTTATATTATAATTTAATATACTTTTCTCACAATATGTAGTCAAAGCGTGTAACTAATTAACCAAATACTATTCAAAATGGGTAATGTTTTGTGGAACGGAGGAAGTATTATTCTTGATACTTTTCTTATTCGAATCAGTTCAGATCAGATCAGATTACAAATAACTTTAAATATAACTATATTCAGATCAGATCAGAATTTATTCCAGTCAAATTACAACCATTTAGATTAGGTGAAGAGAACATGACACAAATTAGATGTCATTTGAAAATTATTAAGTTAATTTAAAAAGTATAATTTAATTCTACAGAGTATTACTTTCGATGTGTTGTCTACTAATTATTTTAGATTTTATGTTAGCCAAAATAATTTCACGTAATTAAGCATGAAGCTATTTCAGCTAGGCTGGAGTGCCAATGTAAAATTAGGTAAGTTTTTAAAGTATTGTATGTGGAAAAAAAATCTTGAAGTAATATTATATTTCTGGTCAAATATGAGATCATTATATGTTAATATACAACAACAAGACCTAGTAGAATCTCACGAAAGTAGGGTCTCAAAAATTTAAACAAAATATACATACATACATACATACATAGATATATACATACATACATACATATATATATATATATATATATATATATATATATATATATCTATGTGTGTGTGTGTGTGTATATATATATATATATATATATGTATGTATGTATGTATGTAGATGTATATGTATATATATATAATAATGTAATAATATTTTTTATTTTATGATTATTTTTTATGAAATAAGAATATTGATTTAATATTTTAATAATTAGTTCATATATACATTAGAATATATATTTAATTCCTATATACATTAAAAAGTAATTAAATTTAGATAATCAATATATAAAAGAGATAGTTTTTTTATTAAAATATCTCATTCTTATTAAATATCAGGGTGTGCTTTGTACTACGAAACTTTTTTTGAATAATATAACACAATAGATATAATAGTTATTTCAGTTACACTAAAATATACTCCGTATATGAATATCAAATGTTAATTTTATTTAAGTCATGATCAAAGTTGATCAACTCGATGTAGTAGTAAAAGATCAAAACTTTAGAAACTCAAATTACAGGTAGAAATAAAAATATATTTTAAAAGTAGAATTAGATTGACATTGTCAATGTATTTTACAAATAATTTTTCCGACATCTAATAATTAAGGATTACTTTCTCAATTTTATATTTAACTTGTTTCTAGAGTTTATTCTTTTTCATTTTTAAGAATAATAATAATAATAATAATAATAATAATAATAATAATAATAATAATAAAAAATTGATTGGATCTGATCTGATCTGGTGTGGTCTAATCTGATTGGATCTGATCTGATCTTGCTAGGTCTTTTCTGATCTGATTCGATCTGATGTGATCCGATTAAATTTGATCTGATCTGTTCTGATCTGATCCAATTAAATTTGATCTGATCTGGTTTGATCTGATCTGATTTTAATAAGAATAAAAAAAGGCAGAAAAAATAAGTTGAACGGAACTGGACGTATGACAAGAACAAACGCTATATAGCCCTGTATATTAAAAAGAGGTTTGGGAGTCCGTACGTACCATATGATATAATTTGAATGATTGTAGGAACAATAAGAGCTCCATGAGAACCACTTGCGATGTAGAAGGGATTCGATATGAAGTTCTCGTTCACGCTGAACCACTAAATTAAATACATACAGTACCAAAACAAAAAAAAATTGATTAGCACCTTTGATTTAAAAATATACCGAGCAAAATTTTGTAAACTCCATTACTCCTAGTCTTAAATAAAATTATATTCTCGTATTAGTAAAGTGCTCCGTCATTTATCCAGTGTTGAATTTTTAAATCAAAACTTGCAAACTTGGAGCCCAAATTAAATAACAGTAAAGTTAGATATTAATACAATAATAATTTATTAGTTTTATTTTAAAAAAATATTTTTAAAATATCATTTTATCTTACTAATATACGATGTGTTATTTAATTATATACTCTCTCCGTCCCATGAAACATGAGACTTTTGCTTTTTAGGAGAGATTTAAGGAGAGTGTATTTTGGTATTGAATTTCCAAAAATGTCCTTTGATGTGATGGGTAAAAGTATGATTTGATGGATAAATTATTAGTAAAAAGGTATGATGTGATAGTTAGGGTATGAAAAAGTAAGGGGTAAAAGTGACTTTTTAATAGAAATGAGAAGTGTTTTGTGGGACGGATAAAAAAAGAAAGGAGAAAGGTTTCATGGGACGGAGGGAGTATATGTCAAAAGTTAAAAATAGTTGATTGTAAAAAATCAAAACTGAACAAATATTTAAGGACAAAGATAGTACTAGTCTATTCAAAGTTACATCATATTATAAAAATATCCTCGATAAAAACTTTTACTCAATATATATTACTCTTTCTGTTTACAAATAATTTTTGTTAATCATTTGACAAAATAACGAGCAAATGACACATTGCACCCTCAGAAAGTAACACATAATTAAAATGCACCCTCATTTATCACAAATACTAAAGTCCATCCTAAGAGAAACGGAATATTTTAATTTTTTATTTTTATGCCAACATCCATTTCCACATCTAAATTAAACAAATGATTCTTCGGTAAGTCTAACGACAATTTTGTTGATCCATCTTTTTAGAACATAATCAATGACAAGTCGTATCTTACAATGCGACATAGTGACGTGACACAATACAATCAATCAAAAAATACATTGTCACATAGTGGTATTCTATTGGAGTGACAAACCTTGCATTGGCAAGTATTAATTTTTTTTGTCAATTTTAATGTATGTTTTTGACATGTTTTATTTAGGCCATGAGTATTTTATTTTTTATTTTTATACATATTTTTATTTTCGTGTAAGATTTTAATTGTACGGAAATGTTTTAAATTTAGTTCAATTATCTATTTAAATTTTATAATCTCAGATAAGAACATTAATTTTAAAAAAATATGTATTCTTAGGTTTAAATAATATGTATTGTTCGTTTCAAAAAATAAGTTAAATTGTTTTAAAAAGGAAAATAGATTGAAAAGAAAATAACAACATAGAAAACTAAAAAGAAGTTTTGTATTTTTTGACTTATAATTAAATAAAATATATATTGTATATACAATAGTGTTAGCGAAGACAAGAAAAAGTTGAGAAAAAGAGGGGGGAGGGAGAAAGACAAGAAGAAGTTGTAGATTTGTCACGGAAAACGAAGAAGAAAGAAGAAGAAAAGAAGAAGATCAAAGAGAAGAAGAAGATCGAAGAAGAAGAAGAAGGGTGAGGGGAGGAGCGAGAGAGAAGAAAAAGTTGCAAATGGTTGATGGGATTTGGGCCATTTGGCCGAGAATAAAATAGAAGGGGGAGACACGGGAGCTAGGAGAAAGGAGGGGAAAGGAGAAATAGAAACTCTATTTTAGGAAAGAGAGAGTAATATTTATAAAGAGCGAGGGTATATTATAGTTAGGGAAATTTTTTTGAAATGATACTTCCTACGTCTAACTTTAATCTTCCCACTTTCTTTTTTATCTTTCCACAAATAATCTTTTCATTTCCATTTTGGTAACCTATTATTGTTAAAAAGACTTAATTAACCCTCTTATTTATATTTTCTTTTCCTTTCCTCGTTTATCCCATAGTTTTAAAAACTGGATCGATGATCAAACCGGTCGAGGTACTGGTTCACTTGTCGAACCAGTGATTTAAACATAATTTATATAACTACAAATACAAATACACACACACACATAGACATACATACATACATATATATACATATATATATATATATATATATATATATATACATACATACATATATATATATATATATATATGAACAATGTCCAGTGACGAAAACAATGTCCAATACCTGTGGACATTTACTTTGAACAATGTCCAGTGCACGGTGGATATTTACATGAACAATGCCCATTGGACATCTAACAATGGTACTAAATTGAGAAATTAAAATATATGTTACTACATAGGGAAACTCTGTATGTTTTAGTATTATATAGGTAAATTTACCTTTTCAAATAATATCAACCTGGAAAAACCTTCATTTTTTTCTCGTAAATTCCTTCATAACTTTTATACTCCGTATATTCCGATCTGTAAGAATGAAGTACTTTCTTTGTCCTAAAACGTTCTTATCAGTTACTTCCTCCGTCCCCCTGTATTTGTCCATTTTCATTTTTACACACCATCCAATGCACTTCTTTAATTCATTTTATCTTGTAATTTGTATATTAAAAAATTATAAAAATTATATATTAATAATCTATATGTTACGACAAATCAAACAAGATCATACATGACTATATTTAGGCTTATACATTGAGAGAATTTGAGGAGTCAAAGTGCTTAGATGAACAGTCCCAAAAGTCAAATGTGGACAAATACAGGGGGACGAAGGGAGTACTATTTATACGCCTAAAATTTAATAACTTTCTTTGCCTATTTTCTTAGTTATTTGTTTAAATAATATAATCTTGTTATATCTTATTTTATAGAACTTTTGATATAGTTTTTAAATATATAAATTTATTTTTTAATTTTACACCTACAATTAAATAAATTGAATTGAAAATAAAATTAGTTAAACTTCATAAACAAAAAGAAAAATATTTTAGGACAATAGGAGTACATACCTTTTGTAGAAATTGATAGACATAATTGCTTGCTTGTACATCCGTATAAATAGCTCCAGTTGTAGAGTAGGAAAATCCAACGTTTGCCGGTTGATCCAAAAAGATGATGCTCGCATTCTATAGTTTCACGGACTCATCAACAAACCAATCATTAGTACTTCGTACACTATTGCCATATAGTTATATTTTAAATTTACAGAATTAAAAAAAGTAACGAAAAGTAAAAGGTATGTAATTAGAATTTGTTTAGAAGTTGTATAAATGTTAATAGCCATATATTCATTAATAAATGAAAAAATAAATATAAAGAATTTTTCACAACATCTAAAAGAAGGGTACAAAATTTCATAAAGCGGAAGAAGTATTAAAAAGAAGAATATTACTCCGTAAAAAGAAGAAGAAATTTTTGAGAAAATGTCTTTTTGAGACGTGTATTCCATCCATGACGCGAAATCATTACACCAAGAATATTATATTTGAATAAAACCCAGCCCATAAGGCCACGGTATGAAGGAGAAGGGGGGGTTCGGGGAGGAGAATTTAAAACTTAGAGGGTAAATTTCACTAATGGTACCTGAACTTTAGCTGGAATTTCGAAGTGGTACCTGAACTTCAAATCTTTTCACAAAAATCCCTGAACTTACACAATCCTTTCACTAATGAGCCATTAGCCCGTTTCTAGGTTAACTTCCGGTCATTAGGGCCTAATTCGAATTTTATATATTTTAAAATTTTCAATTTGACCCCATTCCTTCTTTTCTTTTCTTCTAGGCCCCGCCGCCGCCGCCCGCCTGTCAAAGTCGCCGGAAAATGAACTTTTTCCGATTCCGGCGGGACCAATGTCATTCTCTTCGTCTTGAGACGAGGATCAATAATATCCAAACCATTTTGTCTAATTTGGCCTGTAACTTCTCGAATCTGAATTTTTCTACTCGAAAAACCCTAAAATTTGAAATTGGGTCCAAAATTGGGGGTTTTGCAAATCGTCATCAAATCTTGCAATTGAGGTGTCCCTGGAGGTCGCCCGGATGCCAC